ATCAAAATCAAAAGAAGTAGACAAACAGGAAAAATAAGCTCACAAAAAATCTTTAAAATTTTAAAAGGAAAAGTAGGTAAAATTTTTTAAAAATCTAAAAAAACTATATACAGTTAGGTAATTATTATATGTAAAATTGATAAGACATGAATTTAGAAAAAGGGATTAGGTAATTATTATATATACAATTGATATGACATGAATTTAGAAAAAGGGATTAGGTAATTATTATATATACAATTGATATGACATGAATATAGAAACAGGGATATAATATAGAATTTTCACAAATTCAGCCAAACAAATTTGGCCTTAATAATAACATACTACTACTATTATATTAGCAATCAAACTAATCTAAAAAATATTGTTATATCGATTTTATAAAAAGATATTTTTAACATGAAAACATATTTATGAAGAAAACTAATGAACTTAATGGATGTTTACTCCCAAGAGTGATTTATTATTACAGTATATAAAAAGACTAGCTAAAACCAATATTTATTCATTGTTTGATAAATGCTGTTTACAGACAATCTCCTATTAATGATGAGGATTTGTAACTTTTCATATATCAAGCATGGACCTATTAATATTAAGCATATGTTCACTGAAAATTGCCCTCCCAGTGGACATCTTGTTGTAGAAATCTCATAGCGTTTAATAAATGTCCAGGTTTATACAGTACTTTACATTAAGTACCACTAAAACCAATGTATCTGTTGTAAAGAGGCACATAGCAGGTATGTTACACATACCTGCAAGTTTATTATACCCTACAGAAACTGCAAATTCACATTGTAAATAATGTGGAACTAGATCACCAGGCCCTAGAGGAGATGCTGAAACATGCTGGAGGGAACACATCAATGCATGGATTTCGGTGGTATTGATGGAGGAAGAGAATTAGATTATGGGCTGTCAGGAAATACTGAAACTCAGTACATTTAGAGTTGAAATGTAAAATGCTTTTGTTTTTTTGTTTTTTTTAAATTTATTTTGTGACCAGCGGTGTAGCTGGAGTTACAAATATGAACTAGAATTAATGTATATCTCTTTCATTCAAATTAATCTCATTAAAATGCGACAGATTTTTGTTCAATTCTGTGTCGTTAACACAGTTCTATATTTAGTGGCAAAAAAGTTAATTGGATTTGATTTAATTGCTAATGTGAAGCTATTTAAAAACACATCAATATTTTAATTATTTAATCTTGTTTGTTCAATTTAGATGCCAAATAATAAGTAACAACTTAACATAATTATATACTTTAATGAGGTACTTACTAATACTGACTGAAATATATAGCTAGTGAGATGGAAAGTATATATAAATTATATATATATATATATATATATTATATAATATTTACATATGTATATATAAATATATATATATATATATATAATATATTTTAATGTATATTAAATGAAACGTGGAAATGCATATTTAATGAAAATGTGTATAAATAATGAACATTTTAGAATATGTAGCTGTAGGATTGTGATCCTAAGCATTAAGTCTATCGTACCTGGGAGCTGCTTTTTCTACAAGGCTGTTTTGCCATTATGTAATGAAAATTGAAATGATAGTTGAGAGAAAGAAAGATATTCTTAATGGATAGTTTGTTCACCTTCCAATCCTCTGTGATTTTTTTTCCCTTCAGGGCACAGTACAGTAAACAAACTCTATTCCCGAACATGATGCGGTTATACCATCGCAAATTAGCAGACTTAATAGCATTAAGAAAGTAAAATATATGTAATTACCTTATTTATTCCAATAAATGTGCTTTGAATAAACTTTCCCCTCGAATCAGGGGCAGATCCAGAATTTTCCAAACTGGGAGCATTATATTCAGAATAAAAAGTGAGTAGCGCTAATTTCAATATATGCATTGAAATTTTAAAATTTAGTGCCAAAATGCTCTCTTACTGGATCCTCCCCTGCCAGTACACCCCCCACCCCCTCGAGCCTCATTTGAAATTTATGACTAAAAAGCGGCCAAAATATCTTATCTTATATCTGTCTCTTATACACATCTAGATGTGTATAAGAGACAGTCCCAAATCACTGTAAACAAATCTAACAGAAACAACATCATTCTCAACACAATCTATTAATGTTGAACTCCAGCAACATCACATTTTTCTAACTTGGATGGGATTAATATTAAGTCTTATGATCAGGCAATAGCACATTTTGACGGTAATTATGTAGTTCCACATTTACCATGAAATTAAGGGGCGTTTATTTGAGTATATATGCATTTTACACCTACAAAAATAAATACTTCCCTCAAATCAAATAAATGCCTGCTTTAAGTAAATGTCCGTCAAAAGTCCTTGTCAAAAATAAATTCGGTATTCATAAAATGTCATTTAGAATTGATTTTGCAGTTGTTTCCTATAGTACAGTATATGATACAGGCATTGAAACTATATTATGTAGTGGCTCTTAGAGCTTATGGATTATATTACATATAGTATAATTTTTCTGTTTATCGTGATTGACGTAAATTAATTCAATCAGATTTGAATCAAACCCTATAGTAATTGGCATCCATTTCGCCATTTTAATAAATTCCTATTTTTAACTCTATTCACCGTAGGATTTTTATTGTCCATTTACCTTCGTTCATCTCTAATTAGCAGGTAATTAGCATATGATTATAAATCCACACCGTTGATTGGTCATTTAGGATGGTTCCTAAGACAACCGTAACATTCCTTCCCATTAATCCAAAGAAAAACATTAAAAATGAATTCTTCATGATAAACATTACACATTGGTTTCAGAGTTTTCAAATTAAATACTATGAAATGCAATAATTTCATAAAATTTGCAAAACATTGTAATAATTTATAATATAGAAATGATAATTTTCTGAGCACTAGGTGGATATTTTTTTGTTTTTTTTGTAGAAACTTTAGTCATGTGTGTAGTTTGAAAGAGCATAATGGAAACAATTTATAAAAACCTCTTAATTAAGGTAGTTATAATTAAAATGCATAATCTTCAACATTAACTAAAACAATTTTGCACTGGTATTTCCTGGTTATCTTTGTTTCTAACAATTAGAGGAATTATAAAATATGCTAATTCAGTTTGTTAGGTTTTATCGTGTGATTTCTCTGCCAAAGGATGTTATGTATCCACTACAATCTGTCTGCCCATTGGTGGATCTAGAAATTTGAAATATAGGGGGCCCAGGGAGATATTTTGAGAGATGGGACATTTAGACCACCATAGTTGGGATTGAGGTGCGGAATTTTATGACTATGCCGCCTATGCCTGGAAATGGCACTCTTAAGAATTTAAATGTAATTTTCTTTTTTTTTTCTTATCTTTGATTTGATTTTGAAAAATTTACAGGGGCCTGGGCCAGCTGTCCCCCCTTTGAATCTGCCTATGCTGTCTGTTAGCAAGATTACACAAAAACTAAAGAATGGATATAGAAGATGTTTAAATTTTGGGAAGAAATGGTCAAGGTCATGGAAATTCAATTTTTTTACCCCGAGCATAAAAGGAACTAATGGAATGGCCCATATGGCCTGTGTATTGTTCAGTATTCAGACTCAGGGCAGAGGTATGCACTCTATGGAGTCACAGTGACTGCTCTAGTTATTATAATCATACTTTGCTTTATGTTGAGATGGATATTAAACCATGAATATATAATTTATTCCTCCGTGGTTGAACTGAATTCTGCATTCTGGTGTTCTGTACTCTATGGCTATATGGATGCAAGATCTTGGTTTGACGGATTATCTATTTATTGACTTACTTTGATGAGGCCATTGAGTCTAGTAATATCACATTGCACAGTAGTATCATGATCATAAACGTCTAGATAGTTGAAAAATTATTAGTGTAAAAACCATTCAATTGTGGAGTGACTTATCTATAAGTGAATGACCATTTCTGCAATCATAAAAAATGATTATGCTAAACACACATTTTCGACTAGCATTTGACTCATATATTGATGGTTTTTTTTCGAGTACAAGTGGTCATTAGGGTTAAAGGTGAAGCAGGCCTCTAACCTGGTACCCTATATGCAAAGTTTAACTCAGAAGAGTTTTTTTAATAAGCAAAGTTTATTGGCCAATAATAAGCAAGCAGTGACCACAAAATTAGTGGCCACAACAGTACAATCCAGTTCCGGCAGGTGTACACGGTTCATCTAAACTTTCAGGGCTAGTGCAAACATGCCGAAAAACAGATTCTCTGCCCCAACCCAAGACAACCTTTACAGGCCTGTAAGCAGGAGATGAATTATACATAAAGAACTTGTATAATAATAATCATTTTATTTGCATCCGTGCCTTGTGTATTATCGATGTTGTACCCAAGGGGAATTAAACCATCTTTCTCACTTTGCTGGGTTATTCAGGTATTTCTACTCTCTCATAACAATTACTTGAAACACATTTTAAATTTCAGAAAAACAAATCTGCTTTTCCACTGCCATTATTATATAGCCTTTTTAATATTTTTAAATTGTATATTTTACAAATTTTGGTTGTGGCTTTGAGGAGCTGGGCCTTCCCTTCCCTTGTCAGATTGGAGCATGATGCCACTGGGCTTTTGCCACACCAAAGCTGGATACTCGCAAACATAGAGAAAGTAAGATTAGCATAAGTCCTATCACACATCCTTTAGAATGTGAGTTATGATGACATCATGCAGAATCATCAACAGTGTGTCCTGGTGTAAATACCACTTCCTTCCTTGTAAATGGCTTCACACAAAGGAAATAGTGAACTACTAGAAACAACCTAAAAGTAATCAACTGTTTAACTTTGATACCTTATCAATTAATCATATAGATTTGTGGTAAGGGTTTGAGCTTATATTGAATGATTGCGGTATCGAAACCTAACATTCCTCACTGCACTGTTATTTTTTTATATTGGCATTATCATAATTATTGTTAAATTATGATGAAAATTAAAACACTGTTCATCTAATATCTTTCTGTCTTTTTTTTCAGAAATAGTGTCATTGGGAATTGAAGAAGAATGGTCAACATTTGCCTCAATTCTTGAGATAGGAGGATATCTGACATGTTGTGTTGTTTATTGGATTGTAGATAAATGATCAAATAAAATCCAAAGCTGAAGCATGTATGATCCTCGTGCTAATGATTACTACACTTCCTGCAATATGATGATTACATCCTATTCTCGCAATACGTCATCCATTAAAATAATGCGAGGTTGTAGCGTAATAACAAACTTTGCGAGGGCTCATGAAACGCCCACGGTGCCAGGCCTCCTGTTTATGAACCCAGAGATATGTGCAGAACTCTACAGCAAGGGTGCGCCAGCTGTGGAAAATTTACCAGAACTTATCACAGATGCTGCACAAAGTCTTGCCCAGGAAAAAAATCGGAATAATTTAACGTATTCAAAGGATGTCACAGACTTGATTATTGGACCAGAACTGGTCCCTGAGACAAAAATTTCCAGTGTCATCTCGCAAGAAAAAAATGTTTCACAAACAATAGTCTCACTAGAGGGTAGTGATGAAATAATTGAGAATGAGTCTTGTTTACCGAAAGTTGAAGTAGAGGCCAGAGACGGTACATCACATATTTTGAAAAGTGACAGTATGATAACTTGCAAAGCTGTACTTGATAGTGAAACTCTTTTAGTTGAAACTATCGATACTGACAAATTACTGAGCACGGATGCAACAGACATAGACCCTAAAAAAGGGTTGGAGAAAATTGTAATTGACGAAGAGAAAAGTGAATCAGCAAATCAAAAGGAAGTATCTCAGTCATCTTTGGAGCATTCTGGATCTGTTGATCATGAGACGGTGGTTATTGATGATGATTTGGAGAAAGTGTTTACTGAGGAAGAGATGGTTAAGTTTAACGAAGAGGCTGAAGCTAAGCGTTATCGATACGGGACACATGTCGCAAGCTTTTTGGCCAACAACACAGTTGCTATCATGATGATGCTGGACAACAAAATGTAAGTACAATTTATCGATGGCTGCATTGACAGACCCGTAACCAGAGGGGGGTTCTTGGGGTACAGCCAAAACCCCACCTTTTTACATAAATAAAGTTTATCCTTAAACATGAGAAAAATACAGTGCTTAAATTGCTAAATCACTTGAGCTTTGGTCCCTGCCTCTACCAGGGGCTTTTTCCCATGAACCTGGTTACGGGCCTGATTGACCTTTTTGTTATTGCTTATGTTTTATCAGAGACTGAATGAATGTTCACATGCTTAAAGCTGGTCGCTCACTATGTCATACGGTCGTTGGCCGATGAATCCAACTCCTCTTCTTGTGGGCGTTAGACGACGCAACACCGTCTGCTGATCGTCGGTGTCAGTCTGAACAGATCATGAAAAACGTTGTGCGCGTGTGTCGTGGCATTGCGTTGTTCATAGAATTGCGTCCGCTGCCGGGAACAGCAAGTGCCCGTCTTTAGTTGTTCTATGTAAGATGCAGTCCGTATATTATACACTACATTTTCTATTGGACAGTGGCTTTCTAGGTCATCGACTGGGACACTAGACATTTTCCCACATTTGTCCGCCTCTTTCTTCCCTTGAAGATGAATGGCAGCTGAACTGAAGTGCCTTTTCTGGTGGTGAATGGTGCGGTAAAACAGGAGACACAAGTCCAAGCACGTAGGCAGAGAGAGTATAGAGGGTGTGGATGTACCACCTCATAAATTCTGAATAGTCACTTTTTGAAACCTATTTCACTAAAAATCGTTCCCAACAATCCGAAATGCATTGCATTTCATTTGCCAGCAGGCCTACTGATGTAATGGAAAACGAAATGTTGCTTCTTCAGTTACCAATGAATGGAAATTTAATAGAATTTTCATGAATTATGAGTTTCAGAATTCCATTAAATAAGGCCTTCAAATGCTGCTACTTTTTTTCAATAAGCCCTTCCACTTGGATATTATTGTTTAAGGTCCCACAAAACAACAGTGTAAAGCATTCAAACGCATGCATTTGTGGGGAACACTTGTGTATGTGAGACACACACATTCCTGGCTTTGTTTGTGATGTTGTTAAGGTTGGTGATACTCCAGAAAGGGTGTCAATTTTGTTATGCTGCTTTTGTGATCGGATACAGAGTTTCTTAATCTAGTAAATACTTAATTTCACATTCAGGAGCGGTGTACTTACTGGTGGACAAGTCAATGAATGAATGAATGAATGAATGAATGAATGAATGAATGAATGAATGGTCAGATATGATATTGGCTAAATGAATGGATGTGTGAATGAATGAAATGCATAATTGAGGCGTGTTGTGGCAAAACGGTTAAGTTGTAGCAAAAATTGAAATTCAAGTTATTGGTATTTTCAAATACCCGAGTATTCGATCTTTAAAATGAGGGGTCATTCATTGAAATTGGACATTTCAAGCCTAAGTTACTGGAAAGTGAAAGTACAGCACTCTTAGAGTCAAGATAAACATGATTTTGAGTAATTGCCTTCCAAAGTTATTTGTGCATACATTGTTTAATAGAATTAACTATCTAAATAACATTAAATAAACAATTTGTTGACCACTTCCAGAACTAATGCTTTGGGACATGATTAATAAGACATTAAACTGTTGATCTATAGTGAAAAAAAATTTGGATTTTTAGGCAATTTTTTGAGCTCCCATATTTTATAGCTCATTTATTAATACTGGCCTGTGGGACAACTTAACCATTTCGCCACGACATGCCTCAATTATTGATAATGTTATGGGAAAGAGTATAGTAGGCCTACTGCAAGAGGTCCGGCTCTCCGTCAGGGTTATCGTAAAAGTATCACCATGAACTAGAGGGACACCGGGCGGTGCTCTGGTGAAAGCAGTGGCGAACAGTAGGGCCAATTGAAGGGTATGTTAGGCAGTGGCGTATCTAGTGTGTTTATGCAGCGGCGCACAGCCCTGCAACACATTCCGGCCAAAAAAATACTTGTCCCCTTACCCAGTCGCCTCCCTCCCCCAAATCATGCTCAAGTAGTTAAAATTCACCTCAAATCACCTTATTTTGCGAATTTGTGCCCCCTCACATAATCATAGAGCTCCCACACTTCACCTTCTCGCCCCCCCTCCCCATCAGCTCCCCTTCTATTTCAAGAGTTCTAGATACGCCACTGATGCTAGGGCCTGCTTGTAGGAAAAGTTTGTTTTTTATACTGACATGGTTCAAGAGAATTCCTATTCCTGTATTAAGTGTGACAAATTTCAATTTAAATAATACAAGTTTCTTCTATACCGGTCATATGTATACAAATTTACTTTAACTTCAATCCAGAGGACATGGAACTAGAGGGTGCTGCGTTATGGAGAGTAATGTATGACCGGAAATGGTCTGCCAATTGGTTGTTACCATACGCCAGTGATGTTGGAGTACAGCAAGATGAAACTATTTATGTAAGGCATGAATAAAGTTCGGGGTTTGTCGGGTAGTGAAATGATTATTGTACATTTTAAGTGCTCCCTTCATGCATAAGTGTAAGCTAAATTACGGTGATTAATTAGCGAAGATATGGAGACAATTATTTTGAAGTTCCCTCTTTCCAAGAGGGGATGCAAATGCTTTGTGAAAATCAGTACGCTGCGGTACTCATTTTCACAAAGGAATACACTCAGCTGGTTTGCTAACTAACAATATGCAAATTTACATGAACACCTGGGAAGTTGCAGACGTACCTTGATTAAGTATTATATGCTAACTATGCGGCTCTTATAGCCCTAGCTAGGCAAGGCATTCAAGTGCAAAGCAGTGGTGTTTGTTTATCCATGAAAAAAGCACGCCGGGAAAGTTTGCCTTACCAGGAAAAGGTGACGTAATCTTGCTTATGACATATACATGCTAACTATAGTGTGAGTGTGACGTCACCAAAAAGAAATAGTCTGTATTTCTCATTTTTTTATTCTTTTGCGTAAAACTAAAATTCATGCCAATATTTTTCCATGATTTATAATAATTGGAGTAATGCAAATGCATATTTTCTAAAAAAAGTCATTTTTAGTGAAATTTTGCCGGGAATGGGGCTTTAACTACAAGGTTTGTGGGCGTAAATTCCCTTAATACAAATTAAGGGTAGCACCATCTCCTTGCCATACAAATTACAGCTCCCATTGACGTCTCAGTGGAGAAATACGGGTAGCTGAATTTTTTCTCGAAAATCTGACTACAAAACTATATCGAAATTCACGTTCCACTTCTGACTCTGAGTTGTGCTTCGCACACGCCGCTGAGGGTGGCGTTCCGGGAACCCTGTGTCCAGTGTTAAATTGACTATTCTAACGCCACCACGCATTTGGCACAATATCAAATTTACAGGATATGCTCCCAGTTCCTTTGACTCACTGAATACGCAGTTGGCACTGAAAACCAGCTATGCAGAAATTCTAAGCAGCTGAGAGTACTATGCGATAGGCCCAAGTGTGACTTATTCTGGATACCAAAGTAGGCCAAAAATTGGAAAACTTTGCTATTGCAATGAACTGTAGCAATCCCAGGGGCGATTTAAGGGGGGAGGGGAGATTCAAGGGGGGAGGGAGGTGTGCTGGTCTCTTAGTATAAGAGACAGGTGCTGGCCCGGCCCAGGCCCTCTTTTGGAAACAAAAAAAACAAGAAAAAGAACAGAAATAAAGAAAAAGAAAAAATTAATCGCCAAAAGCGGCTCAGAGGTTACATTTGGGCATCTAAAACACCAAATTTTTACAAGGCATGCCCCTAGACCCCTGGGGTAAGATTTTCTCACTCTGGCCCACTTTCAGCCTCCCCCCCCCCTTTTCAGACATCTCTAGATCTGCTCCTGTATCCACTAGAAAAATTAAGGGTTTGTATCTGAAGACTGGCTAAGAAATGCTAAATAAAATGGAGAAACTGTACAGTATATTTGTTTTTCATTAGTTTTATCTAGGGTATGCACTGCATACCTTGATTGTTTGATGGTCCATGACTGGGTAAAATGCATTTGTATCAAACACGTGCTTCGTCAGTAGAACGCATGTTCAAGCTTCAAACTCTATTTAAATTTTAATAGGGTGCCCCCTATCTATTGGCAGTACTTTTTTTTAACGTTTAATGTGTGCATACAAAATCAGTGCAGTTGGACCTTTTACAATTCCATACTCTTTGGATATATGTAGGAAAGATACAAAATGAATAAATAATGAAATGAATGAATGATTGAATGGATACAAACATATGACAAAGATACTTGTTGAAAGCATGAGTCCCTAATTATTAGCTCCACTTGTAATCTTAAAAAAAATTACACAAATGAATTGTTTACAAAACATACATTCAGAATGCCTCTATGCCATATGTTAATGCAGCAGTTGTTGTATCATGGTCAAAGTTGATAAATTATGCAATGTTATATTATTGTATGATTGATTTCCTCCAAGGGCATAATGACCATTATGATAATGAATGAAGGAATGTACTGAGTCTCTCTACCTTTTAACAGGGAGGACCATGCACAATGGAAGATTTGGTGAGTGCACAATATCAGAGACAGTAATAGATTTATTGATAATAATGTTGGTGATGATCATAACTATGAGGGCAGCCTGATTTAAACATGGAGATTTTAAACTATAATTGTATATTTAATGTGTAGCCGTGTATATGTGATTGGCCATGGAGAGGTTCGTAGAACCTCTGTATCCTGGCTTAATCATATTGCAGCACTGTCTTTGTGTTTCAGCTGAGAGATGAGATACAAGCATTATTGTACTGTCTTTTAAAAGAGATTTTAAGCCATTGGTCTTGCATGCATTAAAGTGTGTATATTGCACAAACTATGGGCAGTTAAAAGAAGATCGAGTAAAATTTGTCACCAAAGTAAATACAAATTGCAACAGGTGTTAATGAGAGTTATAGATGTACAAGTGTAGTTGTAATGTTGCGTACACTATGGATAAAGCAGGGAGATGTAAATGTTTATATCTCCCTGGATAGAGTACTTTAGAGGTTTTGCAA